GGAATTAACCGAACGGGCCGACCTGGGGAGATTCGGGGAACCTCGGCCCCGAGGCCCGGGACAGATACGAGGTCTCAGGAACCCGGTAGTACCGCCACCGACCAAAGGGGGGAGGGCGGCGTTCCAGTCGCGGTCACTCAGCTAACGGGGGGGAGATGGGTCTAGCGGACTGCTGAGTGGCCGTGAGATTCCTATCGATACGCTGAGGGGGGGCGACGGCCCCCCTCCCCTGGGGGAACGCCCCCCCGACTGGTCGGGGGAGGGGCCGCTTTCAAACCCAGGGGCACGGAGGCCGGTAGGCGAGCGACGAGCGTCGCCCAACAGAGGGCGTGGCTGGGCGCCCCCGCCCGTGGGAGCCGATGACCCGGCAGAGCCCCTAGCGGGTGCGCCGTTCGCACCCAGGCACAAAATTGTATGGTGGGCGCCCTTGCAGTGCTTACAGGGCCACTGGTGCTGGCAGTCCCTTAAGAGGTGCCTTTCCAGGCAAGAGTAGCACCAGCGGCGCTCCTTGGCGATGGTTCGCCTCGCCGGGACCGGCTTACCCAGATACTTTGGGCAGGATGTCACCCGACGCTCGGATGCCCGACAATAGGAGCAGGGGGTGCCTCCCTGGCCGTTATTCCGCTATAAGAAGGCAGGGAGCGGCGCTCTCCCGCGGGAGCTCCGCTCAGCCTTAGGGGGGTTGGCGACGCCTTGCTCGTCGGATTCCGCCTCTCCCTGGGCACCGCTCGGGCGACAACCTGGGGGTCCTCGACGGCGCTAGGCTGTCAAACAGACCGACGAAAGTCAGCCATTCGGAGAGGACCCCGGAGAACCTTGGCAGGTCCAGAGTCGGGAGTCGTCCTAACAGCTCCAGCTAAGTAGGCTGCTTCCGAGAGGACTCAGGCCGGCCACTCAGCCGAGCTTCACACGCTTTCTCCGCATACTTGGCCCCCGCCTCGATCAAATCGTCCGTGAGCGAAAAGAACTGCTCGTAGTCCGCGAGGCCGCAGTTTAGGACTCCCTGTTCCGCATCCGAGGCCTCGAGCTCAGCATAAGCCTCCTCCACTACGACCCTTCGGACCGCGACCTGCTCGAGCCGCTTCTGTAGACTATGGACCCGATCGGATCTCCCTATTAACGTATGTGAATTTGCGGCCCAGCGCAGCTCTACCTGCAGGCGACGAGCCGGTAGGTTATGCGATGGCATCACTACTAAATACAAATTAATACGTGGCCCAAATACAAATCAAATTAACAAGTAACAAATACAATTACGATTAAATCAAGTTAAATACAAATTACACAAATACAAATTACTATTTATTAAATTAAATACAAATTACACTACACGGCAAGTACACACTACAGTTGGTCAGAAAAGATGCCTCGCTGAAGCTTCCGATCCTTCGACAATTAATCTACTATAATTATACGATAACGATAATTATCCGATTACGTAATAACATTATCTACCTACTCAAAATACCTTACGCGTAAGTACCTAGCCCTAACAAACAAAAATAAAACAAAAAAAAGGAAGAAAAAAGAATATTTTTATTTTTCTAACACGGCCGAGGGTAATTGGAGACCAATTAACCACGCTCTGCTACCAACAATGTACACGCACCTAGTTGCCCAGACTAAAGTCGACCATACAGGGGCCCATACAGCCGTTAGATTCGACGGCCAACTAAGTGTGGGGCTCAAATGCCTATGGATATTTAATATATATGGATTAGGTACTTAATGCGACTTACCTGGTTCAGAAGCGAAGACGGACCACAAGGCTCGTTCAGGCGTTAGGTGTAGTGAATGTAAGTAGTGTGTGAGAAGTGTATATATGTTTAACCTGAATTAGCCCTTTTTAATCAGCAGCAACCCTGACTCCAGCACCGCCACCCTATGTGGTATCACTCCAGCGGCGTCACTCAGTGTTACTCAAAGTCTAGCACAAATCTATAATCTAATACGAATGCTAGTTCTCGCGGGTCACAAAGTTTAGCGGTTTTAACCGACACAGGAAAATATCTCCGAGTTAAATCAAATGGCACAAAGCAACTCGTCGACGCGAATTAATATTGTCAGAATGCACTTATGCATGCAACCACTATACAACTTGACGTTAATTAATTGTAACGACGTTAGTTAATCGCTCAAAACTAAAAATTCAGCCTCGTTGACACGTAAAACAAACAAAAAAGACAATGCAAATGAGAGGCACTTAAATCGACGTTATAATTCCACACACGTTGCTGAGCGAGCTGAGGTTTTGGGACTCTGGATTAGAGCAAGGGGGACGCGTTAACTTCATTAGACGAGATCTCTCCAACTTAACGTTTGGGTTCAGTATGTCTCTGACCATTCTGAGATCGCTACCAGTCTCCACTCTCGCGATTACTGAGACATCACTGAACAGTTGCTGTCATGTCGTCATAATGAAGTCAATCTCATTTTTTGTCGAACCGTCGGGGCTCGACCATGTCCACTTTCAGTGAGGCCGCTTCTGGAAGAAAGAGTTCGTCATAAAGAGTGCCTCTTTCTCTATGAAGTCGGCCAGCTGCTGGCATCTTGGATCCCGTTGAACTATTCCAAATTTCCCTAACCTCAGCTCACCGTTTTTTCTTCTGCCTAGTTTTGTGACGAAGTCTCCCATTAACACCGTATAGTGGAATTTGGAGGAATGCATGGCTTTCGAGATATCCTCATACATTTCCTCATCGGGATGTGCCGAGGTTGATGCATAAACCTGTATGTTCTTCAACAAATACCGTTTGTTGTTTCTGAGTAAAAGATGCGCAACCCGCGTTGACACACTCACTGAGAGAATTATGGACGATAAATCCGATACCTCCTTGGGACAGATGGTCACCTTCCCGGTGATAGAATAATAGGATTCGAGGATTACCGTGACCTCCCCTCTCGTCGGACTTTAGATAATCCTATAATATTCCAGCACAACTTGTCTATCTCTTTTTCCAGCTCCAGGGTCTTCACGTCAGTCGACAGGGTGCCTGCGTTGTATGTTCAAAGGTTTTTAGGTGGCAATCGAACCTCCACCGGAGATTCTTAGCACCCCGTGCCCAGCCGTTACAAAGGCCGACGGGGACTGGGGGCCGATTTTTTGTAATTTTCATCATTGGGTGTATATTGTGCCACACTTGGCGTGTGGGTTGGCAACCGCAGTTTATTTTATTGGACCATTGCTGTTATCAGGAAGATGCTGCTGCTCATCTCCTGCCTGTTTCCCACTGTCGCCTCTTACGACACCCACGGGATGATATGGGGTAGTGGATATTCTTAACCGCCATTACACGGTAATGAATTAACATATTTAATTGTATATGAATCAGTGCACTTCTACTTTTATAAATATTATCAATCTCATTTCAAAATTGAGTGACAAAATTGTGCGAACGACGCACCAACGCTAGCCGCCCCATGAGAACCGAGAGAAACCAGCAGGGGACGCTTCTATTAGTTCAAACATTCAATGTATGGAAAAATTGGCAAAATGAATGGAGTACTTTATCTATTGCCATGTGTGCGTTTCGAGTATAGAGCGAATTTAATAAATTTTATCCATTCGTCCTCGTCTTCCTGAGTGAGCGTCACCGCGTCCGGCCCGGCCGTCCCGAGGCGCGGTTTTTTCCACTTTTAAAGAATAATGATACATAAGAGAAATAAATTATACCTCTTTTTAAAGAGGTTTTATTATTGTTTGATTACATGACAAACCTTTGCCTTTAATTTACTTGTTAAACTTACCCTAAAGGGTAATTACTGTTGTAAAAGCTATCCAATGAAAGCATAGGGCTTATTAAGTCCCTCTGGAATCCACTCGCAGAATTTATACATGTCCCATTTTATAATCTCTACAATTAGGTGTAAACGCGAAGTGCTAAGTCGGTGTCGTAGTTTTGTGGTAGATTTTATATTAACTCGACCACAGATGGTCATAGTTTTGATTTAAACGTTTTTTCTTTATTCTCAAGTGTTACTTTTAAATTTATATTCAATAACTGATTAATTTAAGAGAGAGGTAAAGCCCTAATATGGTATGCTACTTGCGTAGACACTTTGGCGGCCTCTCATCTCAGGGGTACTCAAACGAGGTACTCGTTTAGAGCCGGGGCAGCGTCAGAGACTGCTGAACTGAGTAAGTGGCGCAAATATGAGTCTCTGAGAGATGACTACATATTTGTGCCGTTTGCTGTAGAGACTATCGGTACGTGGGGTCCACGTGCGGTGAAGCTCCTAAAGGAACTCCATCCGCGGCTGGTCGTTGCTGCTGGTGATAAGAGGGCTGGTTCATTTCTCGGTCAAAGGCTAAGTATAGCCATTCAGCGGGGAAACGCAGCCAGCGTTCTTGGCACAATACCGCGGGGAGTAGGACTGTTTGATAATTAAATTACTAGTTTTTGTTTTTTTTTTTTTATTATAATATTTAAAATATAATTTTTATTCCTTTATCATTTGGATTGACACATGCACTTGTTTTACATTTGTAATTTATTCACTATAAAACTGAACGTGAAACCGGTCAATTTTACGGCATTATCAGAGTCTTTAATTTAAGTAACAAGTACAATTAAATTTAAAATTACTTTATGAGGAGTATCAGTGTGCCCCCACACTCTCTTAGCCAGAGTACCTTACCAAATAATTCGATGTGATAACATATAACTTTATAATGCATGAGCATCGAACTCGGAGTTGCACACATACTCCGTACGGATTATGTAACTTTATTTTTGGAAAAAAATATGTTTTTTTCAATAAACAGTTATGTACAAAAGAAGAAGTTCTTTGTACATATATGTACAAGCTTATTGCTTATTTGCTCCGATAATGCCTGGATGAATTAAAATATAGGTGAAACGTGGACACGTTGTGTCAATCCAAATCACAAACAATCGCAAATATAAATTATATATGTTATTTATTTAGTGATAATTTTACTTTTTATGTAATTCTGTATTTAAGATAATTCATTAAGTAGAGAACTTCGTTGTAAATAGGCCAGATTTCGTGCTTGTGAGACAAAACGTAAGGGACGCCGGAGCCGACCACCGCGCTCTTCTGTTGGGCTTGAAGTTTGGCGGGGTGCCATCCATCAATAGTCTCAACTCTATCTACCACTTCCAGGTATAACTGCCTTTAATAATGTTTATGTATCGTATTAAATCGTACCTAGTGCAATATAATTATTGTCTTGAGATATAAAAGTTGCAGCCTATTTACATCCCACTGCTGGGCACAGGCCTCCTCTCAATTCTGAGAGGGTTTTAGGGCAAGGAGTTGTCCTCCGCTCTGGCCTAATGCGTGTTGGCGAATTTCACATGTCTTCGAAATATTTTTTTCTTATTTCTCAGATATCCAGGTTTCCTCACGATATTTTCTTTCACCGCCGAGCACGTGGTAAATCAGCACTTAAAATTGCAATTAACAATTTCATTGGTGCCGGCGGGGATCGAACCGAAATTGCTCGAGTACTGTGAAACTTACAGCGAGCGCTAACCATCTGAGCTACCACGGCTCTTAAGAGATATACTTCTATTTATTTTGGATTTTATTTAATGACGGCTATGATATTTTTATTAAAGGTAAGAACGACACAGGAGCATATAGTGCACCCGATGGTAAGTGGATGGCCCATAGACAACTTTATCTATCTTTGATTAAGAATCAACATGCAGAATACGTGGTCACCCCTGAAGACTAAAATAGACAGTAAAAAGGTTGTCCGGTTCTCTTCACTTACCATACGAAATACAGAAGCATTATACTGCTATTTCATGCTGGTATACTGTATGGGCGGGGTTCTTCCCCGCTCATACCGACCTATTGCAAATGTTGGCCCGTGGCTCTGTCGCGTATAATTTGTCTGATAAATTATACACAAATTAATAAGTCAGAACTAGCAATCAGACAATTACAAGCTGCTTAATTCCTAATTCCTGCTTAGTTTCTATACACAGTTAATTAATATAGAATAGATTAATTATTATTCAATACAGATTACAAGTAATTCTCATTGAAAGTCATTAGTTTACTTTTAACACTGGTTCGGAAAAAACCTCTGTACTGGGAGAACCAGCAAGAAATTTAGCGGGACTCTTTTTTTTCAAAGTAAAATTTTACAAAAGAATATAGGTTCTAGAAACTACTTACGAAACTTATATAAGAAACAGCTTGGAAGCGACCACTTTATTCCCTGAGGTTATTATCAACCATGTATTCGTTTATATTATAATAACCCATTTTATACAGTTAAAATATTAAAATGTATTTCTTATGGTGAGTTTCACTGCTATGTTTCGTATGGTGAGTGTAGAGAACCGGAGACCCTTTTTACTGGAAACGAGGCAATCCATCCTACTCCTCAAGGGTGACAACGCATTTGCATTTTGATTCTTAATTGAGTATGGATGTAGATGTTTTGGTATGGGCCACTGCAACCATTTACCACCAGGTGGACTGTGTGATCGTTTGCCACCCTTATCCTATTAAAAATAACTTGGTAATAGAGACACTTTGTATATTTTCAGGGACTAAATTAGGTATAAAAATATTATTTATATAAGTTAATACCTTACTAATAAATGTATTTTTTTTTAATCTTTAGGTTCTATTGTATAACTGTTTTTCTTTGTTTTAAATAAATAGGATCGGCCATGGGTGTTCGGTCACCTTCTACAACTACAGCGACGTCTTGGAAGAGAAAACTTTCCTCTGATAGAGCAGACCTACTACCACAATTACACTGACATGGTAAGTGCGTAGTTGTAACATTGCTGTAAGGAGTTTTTAGGCGCTAAAAATATTAAATGATTTATTAAATGAAAACGCAATCTGTTTCTCAGGTCTTTATTTTATTTAATAATTACAACTAATTTTTGTTAATTTACAGATTTAACTTAAACATAAAAAAATATAACTTAAAATAAATAATACAAATAACGTTAGAATTTTTCTTCTTCGCATAGACAGTCAACAATTTCAGTTTTTAGTTAGAAAAATCAAAATGATAACAAATAATAGAATTTGCGAATAAATTCGTCATTCCAAATACCTTTAACTATGTAATTCCCAGCGTCGACATACACACAATAATCAGATTCATAGCCACATAGCATGCTGCCTGCATTTCGTATAAAAAGCTCGTAATCGTTTTGAATAAATTGTTAGGATGCCCCAAGACAATTCAGATCATATTTGCAATAAATCACTACGCTACAAAGTTGGTTCAAACATCTGTTACTGGGCCGCCGGCATCACATAAAATAATAACCTAGTAGGCGTGTTAAAATGAAAATTTTCGGCTTAGTAACTCATGTTTGTTTCGATATCATGAATTATTAGTAGAAAACAAAGGTAACATCGGAATTTTCAAATGTTGGTCGAGATATACAAATGTTTGTTACAAATAATGTTTAAATTGCATCGAGTCGGCAGCATGAATCAAGTCATAGTACTGTTGAAGTGTGGTTTCTGCAGACACCTCGTGAGAGCTGGAGCCCTGTAACATAAACCGTTTGATTGTACTGGACGTTCTATTATTTAAAAGAAACGACCGGCAGATAAAAGCTAAAAAATAACTGTTGCTTATCTATGGTTCATTCTCTCTGTCGCCTCTTACGACGTTTACGACATGATATGGGATATAATTATTCGGAAGTTCACTTTGTCAGCGAAATTTGACCGCGTGAATAATATATAATAATTGGAATTTGAGGTTACTTGTAAGTGCCCATGGGCATGATGCAGGTTTTGCACTTGCTATGAATTAGGCAATTATAGTGCTCATAATTTAAAATTTGTTGATTCATTGATTAGCAATCTTAACCACTTAAAAGAACAACAATTAATTTGAAAAAATGTGGACTGTTAATTCGTTATAGATTCTCATGATATCATATAACATAATCTTTTCGGCGAGAGTGAATAGACATGCTTTCCACCATTTAAAATCAGGATCTAAGTTAAACCTTGAGCAGTTTAAAATAAGAAATAGAACTTGGTATATATATATTATAGTCACCTGGTCCAACGGCAACGTCGGTCGCGATCATGCAGACAGATTCCGTGCCTCTCAAAGCAGTCGTCGTAGTTCGTCACGCACGTGTTGGGCGATTTTGTGCGACGCCGAGTTACATGCACCTGTAAAATATTGAAAATTTGAACTCTTGCACAGGAATGATTTTTTTATAGAATAAGGCTAGCAAACGAGAACATAGTTCACCTTATGGTAAATGGATGCTGAGGCCCACAGACATGTAGATTTATCCCCCAATTAAGACTCAAAATGCAGATGCGTAGTCATCTCTGAAGACTAGGAATGCCTCGTTTTTAGTAAAAAGGGTCTCCGGTTCTCTGCACTCACCATACGAAGAACAGCAGCATTAAGCTTCTATTTGACGCTGGTATTCTGTGTGAGCGTGGACCCTCACCGGTCGAGCTGACCCATTCGTTATACAACTATAATATAGCTGCAGCGTGGCTCTACCACGTTAAGTGATTTATCGATTAGCAAAAGATTCATCGTTTTGTTCCCTTTACGTCTTGTTTGTAGTGTAATGATCTATTTTGTTACATATAATGTGTATTTATTTTAGTTTCTTTTCTTTTTCTCTTTTTTTTTCTTTCCTTTGCTGCACCTACTTCAAATTCTCACCACTCCATAGGTTGATTGGTAGAGAATGCATAAAGGCATTCTCTCCGCCCTATGTATCCTTTTTTTGTAAGGCAATGCAATAAATATTTAAAAAAAATTATAAACCCTACAGTTCTGTTATGATCATGATGTTTACGCTTAGACAGATATTGACAAGGAAATCAAACATTTTGAATCTAAACAATTTGTTAATTTTTTAATAGCCGCTTAAAGTGTAACCACATTTTGTTATAACATATTATTTTAAATGTTCAACGTTTAGAGTTTAGAGAGCTCTATAAGTATTTAAAGTCACGGGGACTGTAATATTTTACATCCTGAAATCGCAGTTTAACATGCGTTTGATTAATAATTTTAATCTAATTTTCGTAAATAAAGCTTACAGGTTACAAAATCTTGAAATACGGCTGTACTTTACTTTGGATGCGATTTTGCATGCAAAACGGTAAATACTCGTAAATCATACTTTACGTTTATCATGAATTATGTATTAAAAATTTCGTGTATTGTAAGTATACTACCACATCCCAATAATAAAACTAATGAAATAACACTTATGAAAGAAGCTCAAAATTATTTCATTTTAAAATATAAATTTCTGTAAGAAAGTCGAGGTATATTATTTTCCCCTTATTACTAAAAAGAATAGAAGAAGTCTTATATCACATTGAATGAATTTGTATATAAAGTTACAGCCTTTATACGTCCCACTGCTGGACACAAGCCCCCCATTTCTGAGAGGGTTTTAGGGCAAGGAAATGTCCGCCGCGTTGCCCCAATGCGTGTTGGCGAACTTCACATGTCATCGAATTTTTTTTTTCTTATTTCTTAGACATGCACGTTTCCTCTCGATGTTTTTCTTCACCGCCGAGCACATGGTAAATCAGCACTTAAAAATACATTTAACAATTTCATTGGTGTCGGCGGGGATCGAACCCGCGTTGCTCGCGTACTGTGAAATTTACAGCGAGCGCTAAGCATCTGAGCAACCACGGCACCTTTTCTACACTAATATTATAAAGAGGAAAGATTTGTTTGTTTGAATTGAATAGGCTCCGAAACTACTGGACTGATTCGTTAAATTATTTCACTATTAGATATCCGTAATGAACATAGGCTATAGAATATTTTCAAAATGTTATGGATCCGTATGAAAACTTCGTTATTGTAACCAAAGGTGTGAAAAAAAATACCAAAAAGTATCCTTACCAATATCGCGTACACTGCGGAAATTACTGACTATAGAAGAACGAGATGTACTTTCAGTCTTATAGAAGACAATCAATATCTACAAAAAAGTTTGCAATACCATCTGTCGACCTATTAGAGTTATGTCACAATAACTGCTTTTTTCATGTTAAAGTGTGAATCCGCGGGGCACAGCTAGTTATATATATATATATATATATATATATATATATATATATATAAATATATAATTTGTATATAGCATCGAAAAATTCGATCGCATGGCCTACAATTAAACAAGAGCGAGAAATAGTATTATATAGGCTCTTATATAGGCTATATAATAGGCTCGAAGGCGTAAGTGTGTATTCATAAATAAATTAAGACTCTACTGAGCGCCCGCCTTGTTATTTCAGGTAAGAATAATACAATTAGGGTGCGATCACGAAACGTTTGAAGAGAATACTATATTATCTTCGTTTTCGTTTCGGCATAATTAATTTATTGTGTTACATAATAGATTAGAAATGGTGAAGTTGTAAGTAAAGTTTTAAGTCACTGTTTTTATTCTAATTAGTTACAGGAAAATATTAAAAGTGTTTGTAGTAAAATATTACAACACAATGTTAAAAGTACTGTTATATATAATGTTATTATTAAATTCTATAATATACGAGGGTGGATTGAAAAGTACTCGGCCTAACACAGATCCATTCAATTCTAAAAATCAAATCTACCCACATTATTTAGTTCAGTTCAGACTAGTTCATTGTGTGAAGTTCGAAACGTGTGCGATAATTAGTTGTGATTTTATAAATTTATTAACAAAGTAATCGGACATAATTTCCGCGAATGGAGCAAATCGAGCAGCGTGCCGTCATTAAGTACCTCCATAAGAAGGGGCTATCATCAAAAGCCATCCATGATGACATGGTCAGTACATTAGGCGATTGTGCTCTGTCATATTCATCCGTCAAAAAATGGATAGCAGAATTTAAGCGTGGTAGAGAGAGTGTGAAAGATGAACCCCGCTCTGGAAGGCCTTCGACGTCAACTACTGACGAAAATATTAAAAAAGTACTTGATTTAATAATGGGAGACCGCAGATTAAAAATTAGAGAGATAGCCGAGATTATAAGCATCTCTTATGAACGAACTCAAAACATCATTGTCAACGAGTTGGGTTTCCACAAGGTGTCTGCGAGGTGGGTTCCGCGACTGCTTTCAGTTGAACAAAAAAGGACGCGATTGACTATTTCACGCCACTGTTTGGAGTTATTTGAAGCCGATGCAGATAATTTTTTGAATCGTTTTGTTACTATGGACGAAACATGGGTTCATTACTGTACACCGGAAACAAAACAACAATCAAAACAGTGGAGAAGACCTGGTTCACCACCCCCTAAAAAGGCTAAGTCGATTTTGTCGGCAAATAAGGTGATGGCTTCAGTATTCTGGGACTCGAAAGGTGTGATTATGATTGATTATCTTGAAAGGGGTCAGAATATAAACTCTGATTACTACTGCACCTTACTACGTCGTTTACGAGAGGAAATAAAAGAAAAACGTCGAGGAATGCTCAGAAGAAAAGTCCTGTTTCATCAAGATAACGCCCGTGTTCACACGTCAGTACAGTCAATGGCTGAAATTCACAACTGTGGCTTTGAACTGTTACCGCATCCGCCGTATTCACCTGATCTGGCACCATCAGACTTCTTTCTGTTCCCTAACCTAAAAAAGCACTTGGGAGGTCAAAGATTTTCGACAAACGACGAGGTCAAAGCAGCTGTAGACGCATATTTTGACTCTAAGGAAGAATCATTTTTTTTCAACGGTCTAAATGCTTGGAAGGGGAGGTGGCAAAAGTGTATTGAACTTGATGGTGATTATGTAGAAAAATAAAAATATAACTGATTTAGTATTTGTTTATTTTCTTGGTTAGGCCGAGTACTTTTCAATCCACCCTCGTACGAAGTAGATCGAAAGAACGAGTTTTATATTTAAAGTACTTGAACCCAGGAAAGTATTTGTATGGATAACATTAAAACATTCAATATTTATTAATTTTCTAAAGTAATAATAATATGTTTTAATGTTATATAATTATATGCACAAATATTCGTGTCAAGTTAGATAAAAAAAAATCAATTAAAGCCTATTAATATTATTTTAAATTAACAATTAAGTTTTACAACGATAATAACGATTCGTATAAGTTAAAATATAACATTAAAACTGTCTCTAACCCACCTTGCAAGTACAACCCTGTTTGTATAATAGTCTGAAGCCTTTTCGCTGTCTCGGTGTCACATCCCGCCATTTGTTGATGTATCCGCAGAGGTGTATGTGTGCTTGTAGGTGCATTACTTGACCTGCAAATGTTTTGTACTCTTCAGATATCTACTTTAAAAATATATTCGCAAAATATTATGTCTATGGCTTCTATTTATTCCAAGTTTTAAGCGTCAGGAGCTAGGAGCTAATTTGATCTCCGCTACCACCATTGCCATTTTTAACTGAAAATTTAATTGCTTAGTTATTACATGCTCAGCGATGAAGTAATAAATACCTCGTGAGGGAACAGACAAATCAAAAAAGATTTTGAGGACATGTTAAAACTGCCTACGCGCATTGAAGCAAAGCGGCAGAATTTAAACACTCAGTAATTGGGAGGCTGTTCCCGGGACGTAAATTATTTATTCATTGTGAATTTAAAAAATAAAATAAACTGACGATGCATGATGATATAGTCTTGGTTAGAAGCTGTACCGGCCCTTTAGAATCAATGAGCGGCCAAAGTTGAGGCTAGACGAGATTTCTTTTTATTGACTTTTACAGATTTTTTTTAAAGTTCGACTTCACCAATTTTGTGTGTGAATGTTGTAAAATAAACACAACTTACATTGTTTTTGGTAGGATGTATTTTTTTAATATTCTACTAAGCCAGCGCTTATCGATCATCCCACCTGATGGTAAGTGGTAATGTAGCCTAAGATGGTGAAGCGCACTAACTTAACAAAAGCCTATTCACTCTTGCCTTGAAGATTTTATCTTGTATCCAATCCAAGTAACATTGTAAAATAAATACATGTATAAAATCACCGAATTCATATAATTTCGTAAAAAATAAAGGGGTTAGATTTTATTATATCTTATTACCTGTTATAACATAGGTCTCTCTTGGTTGTAGAGTAACGCCACATAATGATTCCTGAGGCGGCGTTAATATTCGTCCGGATTTAAGTGCTACAGCTGCTTTTGTGGTTGCCTGCAAATTGTAATTTTTTACTTTTTTATTCGCTGCTACTGCCTAACTAAAATTTTCTTCTTTACCAGTCCCTACACAGCCCACTGCTGAACAATGTTGTCTCCCATATTAGGGACGTTGTGTCTTTCACAAATATATTAAAATGATTCATATTTTAATACATTTTCATAGTTTCAGATAAGCTAGACGACATTAACTTAATTAATATCGACAAAAGTAATTGCATATGCCATCATTTAAATATGAACAACAAGGGTTTCGTAAATTTAAAGCATATTTAAATATAGGTTATACAAGCAAAGGAAATAAAAAGAACATAATATTCGAAAGTTAAAATTCATGAACGCGACAGCAGTCGCAAAGTCAACTTGTTTCAAATTATCCTCGGTTCTTTTATATTATTACCAAATATTAAAATAATATTCAAAAGCACACGCTCTTGAATTATGCAATACAGTATGTTGTCATGCTGCTTTGCCATATAAAGCTCGTTAAATTACCGGGCATATTATAACAAAGGATTGCTTACTTTGTAAACGTTTCGAATTTTCACTTTGTACGCGTCGTAAGTGTCATTTCCTCTGAACAATTTTTGTACACGACCAACGATCACTGGAACGATTATAAAATATTTATTATTGCATTTCATCAATTCAATTTTTAATTGCTATAATTAAATCTTTTAATCTAATATCCCAAACATACATATATAAATAGATAATTATTTATTTTGGGTACGTAATTTTGCTTTGTTGCATTCACAAAACGTAAATAATCAGTTGCGTAAAATATAACTACAGAATTCAATCTTTTAGTATTTAAATAATTGAATAATAAACATTTCAATGAATATTGTTAATACACGAAAGGTGTGCTCTGCTTACCGAAATCGCTTTTACAAAAGTGTGTCTGTGGATGTTCAGGTGCACAGGTGCAGGAGTCGGCGGCTCGCCACGTCGCTGCCACTAATGCCAGCGTCAACCACCTTGTCAGCATGCTCTCTCTAATATTCTGAAAAGATTAAACATATTCCCAGGTTAGAGGAAGGCATGGAATACGAAATATTAAGTTTAGAGTTTAGGGGTTACAATATTTAGATCGATTGTTTTTTATTGCCTACTAGCTGATACCCGCGACTTCGTCCGCTTTGCTTGATATAAAACACACATCAGTGAACACGTAGTGCTTTTAAAATGCGTTGTTTCTTAAAACTTTAATAACTTTATATTTTTTAGATAAGGGACAAGTGTCTAATAAATAAAACTTAGAAAACCTAATTGAAATCTATCCAATAGTTTTCCGTGATGCGCAAACCTTTATCATTTTATTTATATAGATAAAAGAAAAACGATGATGAAATAATGTTATTTAAATATTTTTAATCATGATTGGGCTTTCGGGGGAGTGCATATTTCTGCCTAAGAAATTTTTAATTTAACCTTATTGTGAATTGTACTTCAAAATCGTTTAAAAAGACAATGTCACCTTTGAAATACAAACCAGTGACCCATCTCTGTAAACGACCCATTCTTTGCGAGTTCCGGAAATTGAACTATAGCAAGTGAAGTTGCAACAAACTAATTTAATAGCGTACTGGGGAGCACAAAAATAGAGATAATTTCTGTGCTTCAGAATTTATATTTTATCGTAAAGTTTATATCACAAAATAATTTCTTGTGTTTATGAATACTACTACATATTGAATAAAGGTTTTAAGACTCAAACGTCGGAAATTCCAAAATGGTGAAATTAAAAGCGATAAAATCAAAATTAATCTATATCCCACTTTATACTTACGTACTTTATACTTTATACTTACGCATTCCACGCGGACACACACAGATAATTTGTTACTTTTTAATTTAATTTTATTAAATTAAATTTTATATTATTATATAAAATTTTGTGCTTTTTATTTAAATAAACATATAAAAATTATGTGATTTAATATAAATAAAAATATTTTTCTTTTAGCCTATTTTTCCAACTGTATTAAATTTAAAGCTACTAATTTAAAAACTTCTACATGTAACAGATGGAAACTATTGGACATACATAAATGTTTAATAACACAATGTCGCGGGTTTAGGCCGTTCTTGGCATTAAAATTCACATCAGTTCATTAGTATTATTCAGGACCTTTAGTTTAAAAATTACTTTATCATTCAACCTAAAGACCATTATGTTGTTCTAATTCGCATGCAAAACATAAAAGCATACTGTATTTCTTTCTCGTGCACCACCTAACCTTGAGCAATTGCGTGCTCGTGCAAACTAATGTAATTTTTTTATTCATAATTATAATTTATTTTGTTTCCTTTCGTTTAACACTTAAGACCTGTACTAATGTAAGGGTTCCACATATCAGTCATATCTTATATTTTACGGATTTTGGTTATACAGCATCATTTTAGAATTTAATTCCATATGATTTTTTTAATATCCTATTTTTCAATCTGGTGGTAGTAACAGATTTTATGTTTGTAGTATCTTCCTATAAAATCTAGCACAAGACACTCCAGAGATTAAAAAAAGAACCAATGCCTTGCATTTTAATCCAGCGAGCTGTTTGGGCTACAGTAGGTTATACAAGTTATTATATACAGACAAATACATATGCATACAAGAACAGACAAAAACATCTGTGCCAATCGAGTGAAACTTAGAAACTTTCAGTACATTTGACGTCGAACTAAAGAATCTCAAATGACTCACTGCAATGCACGCTGCAATTTGTTTGTCGGTTATTATCAAATCTTCCCAACAAAATACTACCATTAAAAAAGTATTCGATGTAATAACGAGTCCAATTAGAGCTCCCAATTCGATAATTTGGGTCTAATTTTCTTACTAAACGTCGTTATCCTTTTGTTTTGTATCATCTTAAACGGTTGTCGACGTTTTTATTGTTAAGCGGACATTGTTGTTAACTTTAATTTGGGTACTTTGGTAAAATGTTCTGGATACTTGTATAAATCTTTCTCCTATAAGAGAACACTCTCTTTTCTATCTTTAAAGAGGTTTGGTTCAGAATAAACGATTTGTATGAAATTGGCTTTTTCAATTTTATTTTGTTTAATTTACTTATTTCTTATATATCCGGCATTTTGGGATGCTTTACAGGGAAGGGTACAGTATCTTGAAGCCTTGCAGTGGCATGCTTGGAAGCTTGGGCTGGAATTTAATCCAGGCATCTTCTCTATTAAAATTAGGATGCTTTTTTTTAATTTTAATACTTTCACGAATTATTCGTGGCAGGAATCTGTGTTCTTTTGTGAGAACTTGTTATCGAATCTGATGTAGGGTGATTTAAAACATATCCTTCGCAGAGTTTACGTCAACTATATAATATTAGAAATGATATGATACAAATTTGTTTCATTCAATGTGTAAGTATTCGCGTAAATATTATTAAATAATTGAATTAAATATAGTAAAGTATCAGGTTTTACAAATTGCACGGAAATATTACTAAACATATTTCCTTTTTATAATTATGTATCCAAAATATAGTGGTAACTCGAGTATTTATTATTAATATCATTACAAATCAGACTTTTTTCACGTCTAAGGTGTTTTACAAAAAAATTGCCATAAGCGCTGTGCATGTACCAGACGTTTTGCATCATCGTGGGTCCCGAGATTAAGAAAATACATTTACTGACAGTTACAGAAAGCAGGCAGTGACATCCTTTTGTAAAAATCAATTATTGCAGGGGTTTTCCAAGCGAAACAATTTCTCTCAGTCTAGTTAGTTCTTTATAGACCTAACTTTAAGGAGGATAAACAGTGGTGACAACTGGCTCAATACTTAGGTACTTTAAGCTACGTTTTCTTTATGAGGCTTCTATAAACTTTTAACTCAAAATTATTACTAACATACTGAATAAACGATTCATTTTTAAACATCCCCTTGGTCCTGTAAATATTCATCTGATGTTTATGAACATACTCCAAATTAGGCAGTTTTGCTGTAATTGCGATAATTGCTATTCAAAATGGCGATTTCAGTACTTGACCTCTCGTATTTTACCAACAAATTTATTATCTATTTACTAATGGATTTTTCACGTCTGGCTAGCTAGCGCCGTATAGTGGCGACACGAGAGAACTCATGTCTTCTCTTATTTACATCAGATATTAAATACCCGACCTTGAGATCAAATGCAACGTCTGGTATTGCAGTGGCTTGGCAGCTGGAAATCCAGCTGCCAAGCCACTGTACCACTGACCAGGCAAATACTTCTTCCTACGGGAAAGACCTATGTTCAGCGTTGAACTCTTAACGGGTTGATGCGCAGGGTAGATGACCTAAGCAACGGCATAATACTTTTAAATTCAAATACTATAGGATTTTTATCCATTAGATACGTTTTAGTGGCTTTTATTACAATTACGGAAGGAGAGAAATGTGGTTATTTTACATACCTACGTATGTTTATTCTTTGTAACGTTATCGTTTCATATAGAAAATAGTCATCCACATTATTATCATGTATTTACTTAACCCACTTACACAACTTGGGATGGTATTAACCAATATGCTGTCATCTTTTGAAATTAATTAAGTTCACAAGAGGTACAGTCAATTTCTATCGCAGACACGGAGTACTGCGGGAATACATTACACATAATTTATTAGTGTGGTAGTAGAGAATGTACGACCACAGGATGACAGTTGTGTCCTACATAGTACAGCGACCTTAAGGTCTTGAAATTTCCTTATAAAGTATACCTTTGAGTGAACCGACTGATTCGTAAGCTTTTATTATTTATTATCCTACTCCATTACGCCAACAATTCTTGGTCACATTCAGAGCTGAGCTATTAAGCCTCTTTGGCAGTCACAAAAGTGAAACAAAAAAAAATATTTTGTATCATAAATGGGTGAATAGACCCACTGCCTTTGAGTGGCGACTTTAATCGGATTTGTCCGTATTATCTCACGCACAGAGACATGTCTACTTATTCAACACCTGAGAGTGAGAACATAAATAAATACCGTCTGACAGCGTTTTACTTTTGTATTACATTTGCGGGCGGTTACACTTTTGAATTTTACACGGTTTGATATATTATAATGGCTACATTACGGATATTTTTGAAATAAAACATCGCTTTAATTATTTGGATTGTTATAATACATTCTTCAATATTGGGTTCGCCACGTTAATGGTAATAGTAAATACAACTCAACAATGTTTTCCTTTACCGACGAGAACGTGTAAAATCAGCACCTTTGTTACACGAAAGCGAACAAACTAAATGCCGTTAAAAGATATATTAAATTATATTCTTGTAACCAATTGAAAGTACAATGATAATTAATTTCAATTGCTATCTCAACATTTCAAACGCGCAGGATGTATAATTATAGTGTTATCTTCAGTGTCTACCTTACCATGTCTAATGTCATGTTTATTAGATACGGTTGAAAGAAAGGTGATGTTATCAGAAAATCGGAAAAGAATCAATATACATACATATAAAATTAATGAAAGTATTGTGGCGGCGCTGTCGTCGCGCCACAATATAATACATCGAAGCCTAAATCGCGCTATCGAAGTTCCAAAGTAAAAGCAATATATTAATATAGAATAGCTCCGAACTACCTCTCGGAGCGCTGGCCGCTCCCCGGGCAGAATACCTTGCCCGGCGGGAGATCTCACCTTTTCCTTTCACCGCCAAAGTATTAATAATTTGTGGATTGCACAAACACAAGACACTTCATTTAGTATACAAATATTCGCACGTGTATCGATAAGGCATGTATTTTATCAAAGGGCTGGAACATTGTAACATTATATTTTCTGTTAGATAAAATCGTGCAATTACCTGTAACGAGCTTCAAACAAAAGAAGGCATAGAAGCGATGTCACACCCGAGGACTAACTTAAAATGCCTCGCAGCCTATAATCGTACGGACACTCTTAACCTACAAACTGGAATACAATAGTTGCTGCACTGTTGCTTTGTTGCGAACAGTAAAGATCATAACGACGTAAATCTTT